TGCCCAGAGAAGCTGTGGCTGCCCCATCCCTGGCAGTGTTCCAGGCCAGGCTGGATGGGGCTTTGGGCAACCTGGTGTAGTGGAGGGTGTCCCTGCCCATGGCAGGGGGGTTGGAACTGGATGATCTTTGAGGTCCCTTCCAACCCAAAACCTTCTGGGATTCTATGAAATTCTCCCACCCCAAAGTGCTCCCACCACAGGGCTGATGAGATAATGGCCGTCATTCCCACGTCCTCGGAACAGGAGCTGTGTGTAGGATTACACGATCGGCTCGGGGATGGACACTGGTAACAGCGGGTAAAGACACGCGGATCTGCAGCCTTGGCACGTCCTGCGGCGCTGGAGCCCTCCGGGCGCTCTCCTACCTCTGGCCAGAGGGATAAGCTGGAACCTTCTCAAAAAAACCCCAAACCCTTGATGTGCACAGGGAGCTGCTGCGTTTGGCCCAAGGATTGGGAGTGGCAGAGGCAGAGCCGGGCTCCGGAGGGGCACGGAGCCCCCGGCACGTGTTCTTCCTGGTGGGGCCGTTTCTGAGCCGGGCTCTTGGGGGTTACAGCTCTGAGCTCTCAAACCAAACAAAAACCCTGGGCTGTCCCGTTTCGGGGAGAGGACCCAAGGACTGAGCCCGACACCCACCAGATGCACGGAGCAGCCAATGTGCACCTCACCCCTCTCACGACAGGTCACGGGTATTTAATGGCCCCCAAGACTCGGGCTCTGTTTCATCTGGAAGAGGGAAGCCAAAAATACAGCAGCAGAGAGGACCAGATCCACGGAAATGAGATCTGCGCTGAGCATCCTCTGAGGGCAGCGCCCATCCCCGGGTCAGCAGGTCTTCTGCAGCATCCCAGTCCCCAGCGCTGGGTGGGAACAAGGGATTCCCATGAAAGGGGTCCTGCAGGGATCTGGTGTCTGCACGCTGCTGGAAGAGCCAAGTGCCCAGCCAGGAGATGTTCCTCAGGGTCCCCATGTGGGACTGGGCTGAAGCTGCGCTGGGGAAGGGGCTGGTCCATGTTGTTGTCCGCTGGACCACCCGCTGCTGCCCGCGGCACTCAGTCGGCTCAGCGACGCAGACCTGGGTGGGCAACCTTGGCACGTGGCGACCACCAGCATCACCAAACATCCCAGTGCTAGAAACTGGGAGTGCACTCAAGGCTGCTGGTTTTGACAGACAACACGTTCTTTTTATCACACAGAGGCACAGAAAAGAAGAGATTTTGGGAAAAAAATTCCAAAAACCACCTCCCCACCCCAGGCTGCCCTCCAGACACTCCGCTTCCAGAGAGCTCCTGGAGCTGCTGGAAAAGGTCCCTGAACCGTGACCCTCGGCAGCGGCAGGAGGTTCCGATGAAAGGGGAAATTCCCCCGCGGGCAGCGCACGCCCGGGCGGGCGACGGCGCAGACAAAGGGTGACACTGTTCCTGCCGAGCCGGGCCAGGAGCGGCCCCAGCACAGCCGAGCCCTTGGCAGGTCACCCGCATCCGCGCTGCCGCCCGTTTTCTGGGGCACATCCTTTCCAACCGGGATTTGGGGGGGGATTAGCCCACGGGATGGGCACCGGTGCCCGGTCGTCCCCAGCTGCGTCGTACTTGGCGCTGTAAAACCTGCGGAGCCTGAAAAGGAGTTTCCAGCCTTGCCAAGTCCATCGTTTGGAAGTTTCTCATGGAAAAAGCACAGGAACGGAAATAACGGCGTCAGAGGACAACGTGCGCTCGCACATCGAGGCACCCCGAACTCTTTGGGGGTCCCCATGGCTATTTTTGACTTTAAATCAGACAGAAAAATAAAAATAAACAAACCAGCAGCTTTTCAGGAACCACATGGTGGAGCTGGTATTGCCAGACAGGAGACACCGCAACGGGGACTCTGCGGATATTATTAGGAAGCGGGGACGGGCGCAGGCGGCTGTGTGACCGTCTGTCTCCGTTCCTGCTCCACTGCCCCATCGCTGCTCCCACCAACGAG